ACTAAAAGAATTGGATCTATTTTCCTTGTCTTATTAGTTTATGTAGATGATATTGTCATAACTGAAAATAATCAGACTGAAATAAACAAAGTTAAGGATTACTTCAAAAGTAAATTCCTTATTAAAGACTTGGGAAAATTAAAGTTCTTCTTAGGAATTGAAATTTTAGATTGTATTGGTGGTCTCTGTATGTCTCAAAAAAATATTGTCTAGAATTGTTAAATAACTTTGGATATTTAGGTTGTAAACCTTGTAGTACACCTATGGATATGAACTTAGTTGTAACTGATTATAGTAATTGTAAAGATCCATCTTTAACTGATTGTACTGGTTATCAATAGTTAATTGGAAGATTGATTTATCTTCTAGCTACTTGCCCAGATATTGCTTTTGTTGTTCATTATCTCAGTCAATTTATGCATTCTCCTAGACAATCTCATTTGAATCTTTTTTTTTGTAAGGGTGTCCGGGCCAAAGCCTGACTAATCCCCGGCAAATTTGGAGGCTAAACATGGCCCCACTTAAATGTCGCCAACACTCCCCTCCCAGGGCTCGAACTCGAGTTCATGACTATGCCATGCCCAAGCCTTTACCACTAGGCTGGAAGGTCTTTGACATCTGACATCTCATTTGAATCTTGCTCTTAGAATTCTCAGGTATTTGAAGTTTTATCCTGGTAAGGGTGTTAGTTTTACAAGGTCGATTTTTTTTTTGTTTAACTACTTATGTAGACTTTGACTGGGGTAAGTATCTTTCTTCTAGATGCTCTGTTACTAGGTTTTGTTTGTTTCTTGGTAATTGGTGTGGAGGAATTTATACCCTCAAAAGGCTATAATAACAAGTAAATCATGCAAGTATTCATGGCTTACAAGTATCGTCCAAAGCAAGTAACAAAGTAATACCAAATATCGTTCCACAAAAATTTAGAATGCAAAGTGAGTTACAAAAGTTAACTTTAAAAAGAGATTTCAGAAAAAAGGTTTTTGGAAGCAATAAAGCTTCAGAGAGAAAATAATTTTGAGAGAGTTGGTACCAAATACTAAAATGTAACAATAATTAAAAGATAGTATGGATGCAAGATCAGGTTGGATTTCAGCAACAAAGTGTAGTGAATATTACTACATAAATAGCTCTTTTCAACATTACTGGAGTGAACGGCCTTCCAAAGAAGTGTAGATTAGACCATATGTTGGAAGTGCACTTGGTGATGCATCAATCCCAAACTAGTACAGATCTTGCCTTTCTTTTCATATAGTTTTGCAACCCAATAGATTACCGCGACTCTTTATAACCTCTATAATACACTTAGTAAAAATATTTGCATTGTCTTAATTTTTAGTCCAACTCATCTGAATAAAATAACATGTGTCAATTTGTCAAAGGTTAGTAGATGAAATATTGATATCACTTGTGAATAGTGAAATAAATTGCTATTAACAAGCAATCATCGACTAACACTTGACGTAATCTCACAACCTTCATTTACACCCATACTAAGGTATTTAGCCTAGCATGACTGAATGTAAGTGCTTAAAAAGAAAATGACATAAATGAGAATGACTGAATGTAAATGGCGTAAATATAAATTCTGCACGAAAAATAAAGAGAAAGCTGGAAAGGTTGTTGTAGCAACTGATAATGACGAGTAACACTTAAAAGTACTTGCAAAATGATATTAAAAAGTAACAAGGACCCAAGCTTAGATGAAACTTTGTTCCTAATTACAAAGTGATATTGTTCAAAGTGTTACAATTGTTACCACTAAACAAAACATTACCTCATATATATACTAGCAAGAGGGGACTCAAAAGTACTAGGGGTTAATAACCATTGGTTATTAACCAATGGGTATTATAAAAAATGACCTAGTATAAAAGATGCTTTAAGTATAAAAGATTAAGGTATCTTTGCAGTGACATCTTCTATCACAATCGCCTGCTATCAATACTAGAAGATGCCTTCTTCCAAAATTTTGATTTTTCAAAATATTCAACGGGATTGAGCCAGCTGTTTCAATATCCAGTGTCCAATGCTGTGTACACACCTACTATAACAATGCGTATGTCAACATTTCATTCACTAAATACATAAAACAGTACCATTCCCGCATCCTAGCTCCAACGAATGTGAAACCATAAAATAAGACTAAAAGACTCAATATAGAATTGGGAAATGTGTAAAATGAAATGAAATAAAGTTATAATTAGATGCTAAAGTGTATGTTTTTGCACATTTATCACACCCCACACATAAACTGTTGCTTGTTTCAAAGCAACTAAAATGACAACTTAAAATGACTCAATACCATAAATTTGAAAGAAAATTTGAAGGGTGAAAATGAAAAATCAATACTAATGAGACTGATAACAAAACAACATCATAGCCAAACATAAGTATGTGTGTGATCCAATCCTTTCACTTATTTCCATAGGCTAAGAGTCACACTTCTTTTTGTTAGACATCAACCAATTGCCAAAAATCAGAATCATTAGGGCTTTTATTGGTTTTCTTCTTTTGAGGCTTAGTGCATTCTTTCTTCAATTATTCAAGCATTTTTTTTGTAATGCACAAACAATGTATATGCTATGCATATTTTATTTTTTCTGCTTTGACTTGAATATTTTGTACTCTATGCAAAATTTTTGAGCTTTTAGCTATTGTCCTTTGGACTTTTGTTGCATACTAGTACATATAGTACATATACTCCTTCCCCCATACTCGAATATGTCAATGTCCTCATTGAGGATTCTTGAAAGGATAAGATTATGGGTTCAAAGTGGTAGTGTATGGGCTGATGAATAATAAAGATGGCCTAATTCATATTCCAAAAATAGTAAGTTGGGATGTCTGTTTGCTTCCCAAGTGGGTGTGCTTGGTTGTAGCCTTAAGTGTTGGAATGGACTTGTAACAAGAAAATTAATTGGGTATATGGTTTGTTAATAGTCAACAATCTCATAAACTTCTAAAATAAAATTCAAAGTTCCTTTACTCAATGTATATAAAATTGAAAATAATAAAATAAAATACTATGGAGCTTAGGGTGAAAGAAATGGACCTGCCCAACATGCTGCATCTTGAGGAATAAGCTCCTCAACTTCTCTGATAAGCTCTGGTGGGTATGGCCCAATGCTGGCATACTCTTCTAAATGTTCCAAGGCGCATTCAGCCTCCATGACTCTATCTCTCTTCATCTAGTAGTGCCTCTGTAGAGCAGTGAGTCAAGAGAGTGTTAAAAGTTGTAAAAATTCTTTCTTCTGAACAACCTGCCGATATTTTCATAAAAGCTCTTGCTATTAATCATCATAACTACTTATGTTTAAAGTTAAGAATGATTGATTTGTTCAAAAGTCAAGATTGAGGGCATGTGTTGAAACATATTGTAATTTTGTCAATCTTGACTGTTGTCCCTTTCTTGTCAGGTTTCTTGTTAATGAGGACTAATGTTGACAAAGTTTGAAAGATAAAAAGATGAAGGACTGTGCCTCACTTTCTAGAATAGTTGGAGGGTGGCGAAGCATGAATTCTGTTTCTTCAGGGTCTTTATTGTAAAATCACGTATATATATAATTCTTTTCTCAAGAATTATTTTATCATTATCAAATTCATTTTTGAAGTCTCTAGAGTTTTTCTCTCTTCTTCACATGAGTAGCTAGCTAGTTTCCGTTATGTATGAATGTAACTAGGATTTCTCTTTTGTAATCTGTATTCGTTTAATAACAAAGAAATATTTTTGGTTATTATTTTTTCACTATTAAAAGTGAAGTTGGAATTTGAAACCAAGACAAGGTCATCTCCCAGGCATTCCTGGAACCATGTCCATGAGTTTGTTGATTCAGAGTTTCAGACTCAACAATGGCATAAGCCGAAGGAAAAATTCTATGGTTTGGATCCACACCCACAATAGTTAATACATCTCCAAGAAAAAGGTCCTTCATAAAAGGTCCATCAAGTCCTAATAGATCCCTTCCCACTGCTTTAAAACCATGCTTCAAAAGCCCCTAAACAAATTTACACTATCTTGAACTACAGCGTAGGTGTGTACGAGTATGGTTTACTTTTCGTCTCTAATTTCACAGTTGTTTCAGGATTTGGTCTTCGCAACTCTAGGATGTAGTCCCGCAACGAAGAAGGGACAAAATCGTTGTGAAATGACAAATTTAAGGGACCAAATCCGAGTTTTTGAAGTTTAGAGGCGATATCCGTTCAAAGTGACAAACATTAGAGGACAAAAGTGAAGTTTACTCTATAAACAATATTTGTTTTCATTATTACTAGAAGGATATCTACGCAATGCAACAAAATACATCTCGATTTTAATATTTCGTTTTAATATTTGTCCCATCAATGTTATAATACAATTTTATGTGATTTTGAGAAAACGATAATTATTTAAAAGTTCTCGTTTTTTGTGTAATTTCTTTAATTCAATTTTTTTTATTATACTTTAATTTAAGTTTAATAAGGAAGAAATTAATTTTTAGTTTAATAATATAATTTTTATAAAAATATTAGTTAAATATTCTGTTAGAACTCAATTATTATCCTAATTATATTTTAGTTTTTTTTATATTTAAAAAATACGTTTATCTTGTATTTAATTATGTTTATCTGCAGTTAGTTACACGAATTCAAACAAGAGATTTAGTAAGTTATATTTAGGTATAATCTACTTGTGATCTTGAATTTAAGTAATATGTATCAATAAACAATATTTTATGCATTAAAAATGGTTTTTAGGAGTTTTTGTCAAATGTTTTATAATATATTATAGATTATAATTTTACATAAATTCCTCTTAAAGTGTATTGGGATATCCTGTTAGAGTTAAATGCAATTTATTTTAAAGATTTTGACTTTTAGTTCTTTATTTCAGATAAATTATATAGAATCTATTAGAGATAAAAAGAGAAACCACATAGTGTTTTCATGCTTTCTTTATTTTAGATGATTGATACATATAATCTGTTAGAGAAAAAAGACCTTTGTTATAACCAATTTATTCGCAAAAGGCAAAGTACGTATTTGATACATCATCTACTTTTGTTTGTATATGATTAAAGGTAGCCATAACATAACAAAACCAAGAACAAAGTTCTGAAATACATATACATGAATCACTAACATTCCCAACTCAAAATTTAAACGCAAAATCTTAGATAATCATTTCTCCTTCATGTTTCGTTCCTCCGGTTATCGATAACCCCTGAACCACAAATTCGTTTGTTGTTGGCAGTGTCTCAATCACCTAACGTTCACCCTCGGCCTTCTAAATCTTTCATCATCTAGGTAACTATCACCACCTGCACTTGTACCTGTACCTGAAGAACCACGAACGTTATTTGATCTTCGATTCTGTTTATCACCAAAGTTGTCTCGTCTATGGCTTTTAAAATCATGTGTACCACCCTCATAGGAGCCATTTCTGTGCCTGTCATATGCTCCTGAACCTTGACCCTTATTGGATCTTCGGTTCGAATCAACCTCATAGGAATCATTTCTGTTGAAACCCCTTGCAGGACTTTTTCTTCTATCAGGAATTGCATTTTTACGTCTTGATCTATCTTTGCCTTCATCAAAAAACTCAAACTCATCTTTGGCTTTACGATTTGAATTCCTCCGTCCCTTGTGTTTAGGTGGGAAATCATCGTCACTCAAATCTTCAGAACCAGAACTGAGATCGGAATCTTCATCTGAACCAAATTTATTCCCCATTCTGCTTCTACTTTTCTGTCTATAATCAGCTACATGACTAGATTTCCAGTTTGGATGAACGGGTAGATCATCATCCGAATTAAAATCAACACCATCATCCTCAGAAAATGCAGATTTCCGGCTAAGAGGTTTTGATGACGCCCTTACACTCCGAGAAGAAACTGGCCGGCGATCATTCCAAATTTCATTGGTGGGTTCATCATCTTCAGACTCGGAATCAACATCAAGATCAGAAAAGTTAACTGAAGAACTCTTGGGTATTCGATTCTGGTTTTGGTTTGTATCTAACTCGTAACTATTGACATCATCTTCTTCCTCATCATCAAAATCATCAAAACCAACTCCTGGTCTAGTGGGACCAGAAGCCGAGTATTCTGTTTCCTGAGGCCTTACAGGCCTCCTGTTGTGAAAGGTATTGTCCTCATATCGTTCTTCATCCCTTTGTCTAGTTGATGGAAAATCTTCATCTAGTTTTCGAGAATCTGCATACTCAAAAGCAGCAACTTCAGCACCATCAGATTCATTTTCATCGAAATCGAAGTTCCATGCATCAGAAACCTCTTTCCGGCTAGGAACGTTGTCCAGTCTCGTCCTTGGACCACGCTGCCTCTCTTGCATTTGATTTTCGGTAAATTCATCTGGTGGCCGCTTGCATTCGCATTCGAAACATGCCATATTCCTCCTGTAATTCAAGAATTTACACCTGGAAAACAACACAAACGTTAAGCCGAAAACGCATAATTTGAAAAAGAAGAGGGCAAAATGTAACATACTCCGGGCATTCCCATTCGCCTGGAAGCAGTTGTCTCTTTGGACGCTTGGCATCACATTGCAAACACACAGTGTTCTTTGCAAAATTCATGAAGTCACACCTGATAAAAAGCTCGTTGTCATTGGAAAAATCCAGGGATACACAATATTGATTAGAGAAGCAATCAGACTTTAATGCAATGTGTGGCAAACTAGCTGAAAAGCTAATTGTTGGCTGATAAGCTAGTTATGTTTGGTAAAAACTAGTTGATAAGCTAGATGACGATGTAAAATAACCTAAGACATGTTTGGAAAAAAAATATAAGAGGCTTTTGGTTGAAACGCCACTTATAATAAGTAGCTTTTCAAAACCAAACATGGTTTTTTCAAAATAAGCCAACTTATGGTTGCCAAACATGGCCTAAATTCACCACGCTCAAAACATCAGTACCAAGCCCATAACATATTGTAATAAGTACTCACTTTGGACAAAGCCAGTCACCCTTTTTCATCTCAACATCATCACGACCAACTCGTTTCTTTGGAGGAGGAGGTGTCTGCTTGACCTTGGGAGGTGGCCGTTTGATGATAGGTGGGGGAAGGTTCGGATCTATTGGAATTCCACTCAATTTGACCACTTCATGAAGTAATTTGCGTACTGCAGTCTTCACTGGTTTTTTCTTCAAAAGTGAGTCATTGACAACTGAGCCATTTATGGGATCAAAGCCATATGTCATCAGAACACGCATAATGTCGATGGTTCTTGCCTCATCTTCTTTATTCGTGATCAAATATGCACGTTCACAAGAGCTCCTTAAACTGCATGAACTACAAACCTGGAATATGAGCAACAAGTAAATATTAAAGCACCAGCTTATCATCATTACTTAATCAACCTTTTCCATCCATTTATTAATTCCCAATTCCCAAAACTAAAATCACACTATATTAACCAATATTGAGGAGTAAAACGATAAATAAATAGATGTTATATAGGAAACACCAAGATTGCTGGTTGTCAAGCAACTTATGTAATCCATGAATTTAAGTCCCTTCTTCTCTCTTAATTCACCTCAATCTTCTTTTAATTCATAGATTTACTAATATTTAACCATATTCCTAGAAGAATTAGTTTGAGTTGGATTTTAGAATACGAGCTACAATAGTTCTCAATTTATCATCATGTGATGTACGTCCATTAAATATTTGGCATTTGGAAGTAGTCAATGTAAAACTGTAGAGTTCAAAAAGATAGGGGGAACCCGTTATAAAATGATGTGCATATTGTAGCTTGTGGGCCAATTTGCCACAAATGGAAGCATAACTAATTGCACATAGATTACGATGACACTCAAAGTGGTGCACAAATATCCATCATGCCCAACTCTCCTCATATAAAATCAATCTTAGGTTTCCCATTGCTTCACCATTTTTGATTGGATGAACAGGTATCTAAGATGTGCAATGAAAGATATTTCATAGGTATAGTAGGAGTTTCCCTCTGCCTAACCAAGTCCACACCATTGTTATTCGAACCCTTTCCAGATATCTATATGTCCAGATGTTTGAAACCTATATGTCTTTCCCTTTCAACAAAATTGGAAAGTGTTAGCAATTTAGAGATTTTGTGGATCCTTCACTAGCGGAATTTTAAAAGTCAATCAAACAAGAACAAAGAGATGATTTAACCTTTTTTTGGGAAGTCAAGGCCCTGGCCCCAACCCAGGTTATCCACCAGTGGCAAGCAATAGAACTTTCCTTCTACCCTTGACTCCTAGTACCAGTCTCGTCACAAACTGTATGGGTCATCCATCATTTAGACATCAAATCCATCAATCAGCGAATTCGTGCCCCTTGTAGAAATCAGAAATATTTGATCATGGATCGAGTCAAAGAGGGGTCTTCCATTCAATAATTTTGCAATGAGGGCTATATTGAAACTAGTGGAGAGTGGCCTAGCTTGGCCGATTCATTCAATAAACCCAAACTCGCAAGAGAACCACAAGCTCGGGGGTCGACAAAAGATTGTCTCGACACTAACACAATGAAGTTGATCCAACCTTTTTTTCTTACATCACCAAATTTCAAGAATAATAATTCAACCAAAAAAGAATCCATGAGATCCTTTATTTAGAAGTCCAAATTTAAGACATGTATAAAGTTGATTTGACAACTAACTGGAATGCACTACCTCATGGACAGCGTTGCTTTAGATTTTAGGGTCCAAACCTTTTTGAGAGGATCATAATCAAACACCCACCTTTTAGTTCCTATATTACAAGGCTTTTCACTTTTGTAATTTCAATTGACATTAATCTTTCGAGAAAAACATAAAATCTCCTAATTAAATTCAAGCATCAAAATAAATCATTTGTCTTTCCGTTGCTACCTAGTTCTCCTTCCTCTCAACCCCATAATTGCTGCCATCTTGTTTTGGTATGGAAGTTTCTATTGTTTTATGCGTATACACACTACATAAATTATTTTTGACAAAACGTAGAACTGGAAAAAAAAATTGTAATTGTAGGAAGCAATGAGAATGAACATGTAATACATTGATCCATCCTAACCTTTTAGCCATTAATTTCAACCCATATTAAATTATGGTTTACCTATTACTTTAAGCCTGATTTAATAAGGCATAGTTACACACATAATAGCAAATTGGATAGCTTTGTGATTGTTGCCCTAATTTTATACCAAAAAAGAGTCAGGTTATGGAAATCAAAATTCTATGCATTCTTAATAATTGTAGTTATATAACTAAAAATTAATCATGTTTAATACAATGAACTTATCATAGGCTTACATAATCTAAAGTAATATTTTATAAATTAAGCTGACGCACTTAATGTGAATGCTTAACCCTCGCTTAAGTGATTAGGCAGTAGAAGGTTACTAGATAGCCTAGCACTTATTATCGCTTTATCTAAAAGGAAAAATTGGTAGAAGGGTGTGAAAGAAAATTTGTAATCATGAGATGTTGAAGCACCTCTAAGACATTTTTGAGGCACATATTTCTTGATATGGTGCGTTATTCAATGGTTGATTTAGACGGTTTTATAGGTCTTATATTGTTCATTATCCATAATGATAGGGACTACTAGAGAGATGAGTACATGGAATCTAGTGTCTGCCTAAAGGGAAGGGTAAGAGTTAGTTCTTACAGCTTTTGGAGTACGAGTAGATGGCTGGAAATTTGACTGACTATTTGCGAATCATAAGCATGTTCATACCAAAATAATGATCCACATGAAAAACTACAATGACGAGATTAGGAGGTCATGTATGAGTAGCACTAGGATACGTGTTGTAGATGCTATTATTGTCGGACCTTGAGTGAAACTTGAAAGATTTTACCATCAAGATAAAACAAACACATAGGGAGGCTGTGACAAAAAAATAATCACTCTTTAAAACTACCATCAGAGAAAATGAAGTGTGAGCTTAGTATATGACCGTAGCCACGGTCAAGTTTCAGAGATTAAAATATGATATTAGAGGGACCTTAGACCAAGTTTGGTATGATGAACATAGCAAGCACACTGAAAAGTCATTTTTGATGTAACATCAAGCAAAGGAACATAACAAGTATAACAAGGAATATGGAATAGCACTATCAAACACAAAGGATGTCATTCTACTGACTAAGAAATTGGCTGCACGATATAAGACCGAGTCGGTGGATGGCGGTCCGTCAACAAATGTGACAAAGCATTCGAAACAAATATGTCACTCAGTAGAAGCTCCCAAACATTATAATGAAGTAGAAAAAACAGACCATTCTTGTTAGTAATACTGCTAGGTGGATGAGGTATGTGAGTGCATTGCTAGCTGAGAGTTCACATAAAAGAATTCCCAACATACAGTGAACATGTTGGAGATTGGCATCACTCAAGTAACTAATTGATGATTGGCATCAACTAACATGCATTTCCAACGGAAGGAAAGAGAGGAAACTGATTATCTCAGATAAATACATATATACATACATATATATATACATATATACATACATATATATATACATATATACATACATATATACATACATATATACATACATATATATTATGAGGAGCGTTCAAATGAAAACCGCCTCCATTTGTGTAAATCGTGTAAACCAATCTCATTAATCCATTTTCTTGATCAATGGTCAAGATTAGTTTACTTTATTTTAGGAAATTAAAAAATATATATATTAAAATTTTATTTTTATATCAGCAATAAGGGCAAAATGGTAAACAAAAATACTTATTATGTAACATCCTATTGAAGGACATTATTCTTTATTTTAGGAAATTAAAATTTTCTATTTGTTAAGAAATAATTTCGTTAATGCAGCAGCCTTTTTATTTCTTATCCTGAAATTGTTTCAATGTCCTTCACACACCCATGTAAATATGCACCCTATTCATTATGAAATTTCAAGACGCACCGGTTTCATCATGAATCCATTTCAGCATGTAATTATTTCATGACAAACCGCATACATTATGCACCCGTTCATTTTGCATTTCACCTACTGAATGGATCAACTACACCATCACTGAAAACGGGGTTCACCATCAAACCAGTTCACTACTCATTGTTCAATTACGCCATGAACTAGTTTCACCTTCATGAAACTTGTTTCATGTACATAGATTAGTTTATTTCGCTCCTGATTTGATGAATTCATTCCTTTAATCCTTACAATCTTAAAGATTCTGTAGCAGATTACAATCTTCAAGATTATGGAGCAGATTCATCATGTACCCGTTTCATCATGCAATTATTTCATGACGAACCAAATACATTATGCACCCGTTTCACTACTCTTGGTTCAATTACGCCATGAACCAGTTTCACCTTCATGAAACCTATTTCATGTACATTAATTTTCTTATTTCACCCGTGATTTGATGAATTCATTCCTTTAACCCTTACAATCTTCAAGATTCTGAAGTAGATTACAATCTTCAAGATTTTGTAACAGATTCATCATGTACCCATTTCATCATGCAATTATTTCATGACGAACCAAATACATTATGCACYCGTTTCATTTTCCACTTCACCTACTAAATGGATCAATTACACCATCAATGAAACGGGTTCACCATGAAAATGTTTCACTACTCATTGTTCAATTATGACATGAACCAGTTTCACTTTCATTAAACCTGTTTCATTTGTATTAATTTATTTTTTCAATCATGATTTGATGAATTCATTACATTCTTGGTTTAAAAATGCGCGCATTATGCGTTGTGATGCGTGATGCGCTGTGATGCGCTGAAGAAAACGCATCAAAGGGTCTGATGCGTTGCGATTCCATGATGCGATCGCATCACCTACGCATCACACGATGCGTGCATCACTTATGCATCAGCGCATCATGTATGTTGCGTTTTTGGGATCCCTTTTTCAGTATTTAGTTGGGATTTTTAGTTGGGCTTCTTAGTTAAGTAAAATAGAACGTGAGTGAGACTGTTAGCGACCTAATAGAAGAAGCCGACAGGGAAGAAGTAGAAGTAGTCAATACCAGCAGCAGTAGTCGAACCAGCAGTAGTCGATACCAGCATCGCATATCAATTAAAATGCGACGTGATTTACTTAACTTGTGTAATTGTGTTCTTCATGGTAGTAGTTTATGGTCACTTAGTTGGTCATTTAGTTTAGGGATTGGGACTTGTGTAACTGTGTTCTTCATGGTAGTAGTTTGTGTGTTATGTAATTCTGTTATTCCTATTCACGAACTTTTTAAGATTCTAATGCCACTTTTTTAACTACTTTATGTTATAAATGAAGTATTTTGATAGGTAAGTATTTTTAAGGTAGAAATTGATATGTATAATTAATTTATAAATATTTTTTGAATACCGGGCGCATCACGTGCGTGAGCATCACGCATCACGCATCGGCTTCCAGGACCCTTAACGCATCGGACCGCATCGCGCTTTTTAAAACCAAGATTACATTATGCCTTACAATCTTCAAGATTCACCAGCAGATTCAATCGCATCACAATAAATTTAGTTCAAATTTTTTAAAATTTATAATATAATTAAATATTTAAATGTTATCATTTATAAAATTTCCTTTATTACGTTTTCTTAATTAAGATTTATTAATAATTTTCATATTTAATTGAAAATATTGTAAATGACCGAAATACCCTTATTGATTAAATTTAATTAGAAAAAAAATGGAATTTCCCTATTGGTGGAAATTAGTTTACACGGTTTCTTAGAAATGCATGGTTTTCATTTGAACGTGCCCCTATATATTATATCACATGAAACAATACCAAGATGATATGGTAAAACTTACATCTCCTTCATCAAGATGAACATGTTTCCTCAACAACTTTGCAGAGAACACAACCTTCTTGTCTGCACTAGGGCATCCATACCCAACTAAAAGTTGTATATCCTGTCTCGATAGTGACCTGAAATAAATTCCCATCCTAACATCTCAAAAAAGGTAATAATGAATACAACAATACAGAATAACTTAGATTTTGTAGCAAATTGCTATGCATCTACCCCTTCCCCCCACATTTTGCATGCATGCAGTGTTATCAGAAGAAATTTATAAGTGGAAATTGTGATCTAATCCAGTTGCTGGAGTAGAAGATCAAATTTTCATATGGCCATTTGAGTAGCTTGTAGACAAATACAAGATTAGCTAGGACATTTTAGCAGGTGCATGAGAGGGTGAGTAACCCACACCAGTGATCTCATCTCATGCAATAAACTCAAAGCATCTCACTCTCAGGTATGTCTCTATTATGCACATTACCCTGAAATTCAACAAGAAGCCTGGTGGAGAGTTCTGGGGGATGCAATTTGTAATTGACTTATTATAATGAAATTATCAACTCATTCCAAGTAATGCAATCAATCTTTCCTACCTAGTAAAGGGATCCATAGCATTCCTCACAAATAAACATTACAGTATACACTCACATCCCACAAGTTTCATAGAATCAAGCGTGCACAAAGCATTAAATGCCATGAAACCTAACTGACCTCAAGATATCAAACCTATCTTTGCCAAAATTGAGACCAGCAGTCTGAACCGTCTTCCAATCTCTAGTGAAATCAAAACCTTCCTCCAATATTTCCGCCATAATACCATCACCAGCATCAACATCACCGAACCCTGAATCCGAAATAACTTTACCTTCATCCTTCCTCCTACAATCAAAATAGTTCTGCTGAACCAACCTCTCCATCAATTCAATCCATTCTGGCCAGGGATGCACCAACTCCACTCCCTTAGTCAAAAACCCTTTCTCCTTAACCCCAGAAACCGCCACATTCACACTCTCTTCTTGTTCGATGGTGGGTTGCTTTTCTTTCTTGGATTCACGCCAGGCACGAATTCGTTGTAGGGTTTCGTCTTTCTGGGAACGTTCTTTCTCAATGGCGTCTATTTGGTCAAACACAAAGCTCATGCGCGCAGAAAGGGACGTTGGTTTCGGATTTCTTTCATCTGAGGTGGGTGTGCTTGAAGAGAAAGGTTTCGCGATCAATTGATTGATGAAAATGGTTTTATGGAGATGAAGATTACGAGAAAAAGGGCGTCGAAAACGGATGATGTGAGAAAAACCCATTTTGGAAACTGGGACAGTTTCAAAATGAAACCTTAAACCTCCATCGAGGAAGCATCAGCAGCAACTAAAACCCCATAGCCAGACAACACATGAGAGCCAAGCCCAGGCCCAATGGAGCACCAAAACCCGAACCGGAACCCAGTCCTTATCAGAATTTTTGGCGAACCAGTTAACGAGGCCCGGTTAAAAAAATTTGTGTTACAATATTGTATTTTTTATTTTGTTTATATTATCCAAAAAATATCAATCACATTCATTTAATTACGTTGATATTTAATCAAGTTGAACTGCATTGTCACAATTATGTATTCTCTAATTATCTCAATAGTGTTTTTTGGTAAAAAAAATTTCAAAATAATCCTTTCACTTGTCTTTTTTTTTTTTTCTTAAGTGCAACTTCAACTTAAGATTCCACTTCATCTTGCACTTGAGATTTGTTCATGTTCAAAACAGTGTAGAAACTAGTATGTGATTATGTGTCCGCGTATGTATGTAATCGTGTTATAAATTTCTTTTCGCTACTTGAGATTTCATTTTACTTTTCTAGCACCCCTTTTCACCTCGTGTACCTCCATCAGTGCTTTGTCCTCCAAATTTAGTTCTAGACTTACCTGGTTGCCTGACATCTTTTATGGTATACCATGTTCTCATTCTTACAATTCATTGTTTTAAATGTCTTCCTATCTGTCGTATTGAAGCCAATAATCTTTCCTCTACATCCCTTTTTTTTAAATATTGGTCTTCCAGGATTTCTCTTTGGCAATGGTGGCAAGGGGCTGGTGTGATTGCTTTTCGGTCACATTTTGATTCTATAGAACTTAAATGATGACTATATGTCTATATGAACAAGGTTTTTTTTTTTATTAACCTGAATATCCAACCCGCTATGCGAGCCAACTAATCCCAGAGCGACCACCTACTTTGCAGATAGCCCAGAGTCACCGCATTTGAACTTATGTGGCCACAAGAGGATTTTTATTCCTCCTTGAATTTGAACCAAGTTTTTCTAACAATGTAAAACGTAACTCTCAAGCATCTTATTTACGTATATGACGATGTAAAACCTAAAATTTAAATATAAAAATGAACAAATAATATTATATGAGTTTTTAATATTTTTATTTAGAAAAATGATGACCTAAAATATTGATTAAATTAATTAATTAATTCATTAGGAGTCTTAAAATCTTTATGTGAGTAATTGAATGAAATAATTATAAAAATATTAAAATGTGAAATAATCAAAAGAAAGGACTAGAATGGAAATAATTGTTGAATCAATGGTAAAATGTGTAAAGTTAGTCAAAGTAGAGAACATAGGGGGTCGAGTGTAAAAGAGCAGAAAGCTTAGGGGACCGAATGCCATCTTTTTCATAGATGAGGGACCTGTCTTACCAAAAGGATAGGTTTGTTCAGAATTCTGAGATTCAATAGCGACCTCATGGTTCTAACCCCCTATTGGCTCTTCACGTCAACTAATAGACCAAAACTCTTGCTTATAAGTATAGAGCACCTATTGAGGATCATTTTCGTCCACATGGTGCCGATTGTTATTAGATGATTCAAATGAAGAAAGATGAGACTATATTTTCAACCATGCTAGTTTAGATATTTTAATTAACATTGATAACGTTAAAACACTTTACGCTTCCGCAATTATATAATGAGTTATATTCAACATATTATATATGTTCGAAAATTTTAAGTTCATCTTCTTATTCAAGGCTTAAGTTATTAACATTGACGTCATGACACTCGATGACGATCGGGACGTGACAAATTAGTATCATAGCCGTAGGGGCTGTTTGACAATTGCTGAATAGTTTGGTGCAGAATGATTAAGTGGTCAGAATGATTAAGAGGCTCTCATGATATAGTGCAAAATGAAATATAATTGTTTGGTAATTGTGTATAATGAAATTAGGGCTCTTAATAATTAAAGAGGATCCAGTTAAAATGGTCATAAATGACAATTAAAAACCGTTACCGTAGGTATACAACAATGTTTTTTTTTTTTGAAAGAAAATTTGTCTTCCTGCCACCACTTATGATACACTTTTGGTTACATTCAAAAAATGTAACCAAATCACATCTAAAACCATTACCCTAGCCTAAATTCGTCACCTTAAATGTATAAAAAATCAATTTTCTTTTCTAAAATCATTACTAGGGATGTATAAAAAACCGTCAACCAGTGAAACCCGCCCAACATAACCCGTTAACAACCCGATTAAACTCAACCCACCAAACCGCCAACCCACCAACTGCTAATTAGGAGGGTTGAAGTCGGGTTAGCCTAACTCAACCCAACCCAAACCGTCAACCTGCCGCTAATATATATTATTTCGATAAAATTATATATATATAATATTTACAAAATTACAATGATTATTAATTTATAATTTACAACCAAGAAATATCTACACATATTAGTTTAATTTACAGACCAAGAAATATCTACATATATTAGTTTAATTTACAACATAAAAAATATATACATATATTATTAGTCATTTACTTCAATTTACAGCTCAAAGCCCAAATCCAATTAGGTCAAGTCCAGTAGTCGATTGGAAGTTTGGAGCCCTCAATTCGGTTCTGCCCCTTGTTCCCTTGGCACGAGTACACTATCTGCTGTTGGAACTTGGAACTTGTTGACTTTTGGATGTTGTAAGTTGTTTCTCTTGGACGTTGCTGCTACTAATTGACCAAAATCCTCAATTCAATTCTACCTGTTGATTGTCGAGTGTCGACTTGTTGCTGTTGGGTAGTATCGATTCTTCCTATCAACTTGCTAATGCTCGATTTTGTTTAACTTTTGAATTATAGACAAACTCAAAGAGAATGCAACATTGGAGTCAGAGAGGTCCTACACGACCGTACTTTATTAAATATTTGAATTGGATGCTATCATTTAGACTTTTTAAGTTTAATTTCAAGACTGAAGGATTTTAATATACATTAGGATGATTGTAATAACTAATAACTTTGTTGGGTGTATTTTTAGTATTATTTATCGTATTTCATTCGTCAACGTTATGTATACTAACCCACCAACGCAATCCAACCGAAACCAACCTGCCCTAACCCGCAAGGGGTTGGGTTGGGTTATACTTTGGAATTAGTTGGGTTGGGTTGAGATTTTTCAAACCACCATAATCAGTGGCGGACGCAGAAAAAATATTGTAGGGGGCACGATATAAAATAAAATAATAATTAACTTCAATTTCATACAAAAATGATAAAAAGTTACCTCTTACAACTGTGCCCTACGACTCTTCATCTTTTGAAATTGCGTAATTACATCATCATTTGAAACTGCGAGAAGTGCTTCTTTTTCTATAGTACATATCATTGCAGCATTCAAAAATTCATCACCGATTTTGTTGCGCAAATCTGACTTCACAATCTTCATAGCAGAAAAACATCTTTCGACTGTTGCAGTAGCAACTTGCAAAACCAAAGCCAACTTCAATAACCGATAGATTAGAGGATAAGTTTGATGCTTTTTTGTTTCCACTAGCAGTCTAGCGAGCTCGGCAATACCACTCAAATTGGCAAATCTTTCATCTTGACGCACAATCAAATAGTACATGTTAAGTTGTTTCTCAAGAGCGATCCTTTCCATATGACTAAAATCTTGAGGATACAACTCACTCAACTTCAATAAATCTGATACATTGAATTGCGAAAATGAATCGCATGGACTTAAAGCTGCTATATTTTTAAGCAATTCAGTACTTACCTCACTAAATCGATCCCCAAACTCTTGAATTTGATGTCCACAACAGTGTTGAAAATATCAAACTTGTAATAATGATAATTGGTGATATTGGTCCTTTGTCTTCCGTTTTTTGAATAACGGTCTTCCATATCCAAAGATGATATTTCGAAATCTTTTTCCTATCAGCCGGATCCCAAGGAAGATCGTTCAAATCAATTTCGCAAGGTATTGAAGGAGCAGAGCTCGATTCAGGTGTTGATGCTTTCCTTTTAAAAAATCTTTCCATTTGATTTGCCTAATTGCCTACCAAATTACCTACAAAATTAACCAACAAAATTAACCTAAAATTACATAACCTAAAGCATTAAGCATTTACCAATTACCACAAAATTAACCAACAAAACAAAATTAACCTAAAATTACATAACCTAAAGCATTAAGCATTTACCAATTACCACAAAATTAACTAACAAAATTAACCTAAAAATAAAATACCTAAACTAAAGCATTTACCAATTACCAACAAAATTAACCTAAAAATAAAATACCTAACCTAAAACATTTACCAATTACCACAAAATTAACCTAAAATACCCTAACCTAAAGCATTTATCAATTACCACAAAATTAACCTAAAATTAACCTAAATTACTAATTTAAATTGGCTGGCAGTGGCAGAAACAGTCAAACAGAAATCAATTTACAAATTAGAATCTTTACCTAAGTGCGACTTTCTTCAGCAGTTCAGCTTCTTGGCTTCTTGGAACAGCCGGAGGCGCACAACACAGCGCACAGCACAGCACACAGCGGCACAGGCGGCAGGCCGCACAGCGTCGGGCGGCAGGCACAGGCGCACAGCGTCGGCGTCGGCAGGCACGCAGAGGCGCAGAGGCAGAGCGATGAAGAAGAAGGTACCTTCGTTTCGTTTGGTTCCTGTCCCTGACTTCCTGTTCGGCTGTTCCTCACTTCCTCCCGAGTCCCGACTTCGTTTTTGTTCGTTCAAGTCTTCAATCCTTTCAAGAGGGGCCTCTTACATCATAAGGTTGGGGGCCCAATACACTTAATTTAAAAAATACAAGTAATATTTTTTTTGGGCTTTGCTATTCACTTTTTGTTGGGGGCCCAGGACCCCTACCACAATAACATGCATCCGCCCCTGACCATAATTGCGTTGGGTTATAAAAAAGTCAAAAACTGCCCAATCCAACCCACGTACACCCCTAACCATTACCATAACATAACATAAAATGACATTTATTTTTAAAAAGCATTAATGTATCATGATATATGT